TGGTGGATGGTCAATCTTTCACCCACCTTCAAGTGAAAAAGGTGAGCTGAATAGAAGGTCTATAGTTTTGAGCTGGAGAGTTGAAAGGATTCTCCTCTGGTGGTCTGTCTTGTTCCTGTCTAAGTGACAGATGCTAACAAAATAGAGCAAATGTTTCCCTGTGTGGAGCCTATCACTTGTTTCAAGTTAGCAATGGTGAATCAATGTATCATTAAATAGGGAGGACTGGGAATGTGGCTTAGAGTAGAGTGCGTGCCTAGCATGCATGAAGCCCTTGAGCAAAAGGAGGAAGTTCAGGGACAGTGTCCAGGCCCTAAGTTCAAGCCCCAGGACTGGCAAAAAAATAATAAATAGGGAAGTTGTAGGAAAGTGGATGAAGAAAAACACTTCTCGATTTCAGCAGGACTTTTGATGATATCTTTGGTAAGCTCCTTGAGGGCAATAGAGAGAAAAGTTGGTTTGATGTTTGGGGATAGTTTACTGTTAGGTGGAGGCAGCTCTCCTGTGCCACGAGTCAGGATCTATCCGTCTGGACTGTTCACTTCTTCCCATCAGGGATGAGTTGGAAATATTAAGACTGTGGATGTCAGTGTTTGATTAATTGCTACCATCAAAAATGGAAAGCATCTGCCCAGCAGAGTCATGCGTACCTATAACCGTTAGTGTTTAACCAGCGCCTTTGAGGCTATCTGCTCTACAAAGAGCTCCTGTGTGAGGTGGCAGTGTTGAGCTAAATTGGGCTTACATCCCTTTCAAACTCTAACATCCTGTGTCTGTACTATCCTTTGGCTGTAAAAGATCAGTAAAATCTTCCTCTTTTTTAAAGAAATCAGTTTCAGATCTTCAATTTGTACGTTAGAAACCTAGAGGTTTGTTTCCATGTATCCTGAGTGCTGTGATGTGTTTGGAGAACCGTGTGGTTTGGAGAACAGTGGTGACTTCTTTGAAGGACTAATTATAAGGAAGTGATGGAGGGAGAAACCTTCCTTCCTTGTTTCATCACGAAATGCAAACTCAGTGGAACCAGTTTTCGCTTTGGTCCTGTGTCTTCTACTGAATGGACAGGCCTGGGGTAGGGGTTGGGGGAGCAATGAGGTGGGCCAGGAATGTTCTAATATCTTGTTACAAGACTGGTAAACATAAAGCAAGTAAATCTTCAGCTAGACACCCCACTTTCTGTCTTCAGTGAGACATCTTAGCATTAGTAATCTCATTTTGGTGAGGCGAGTAACGTCATTTAAAATTGAATCCACATGATTTTTTTTGTTGTTTTTTTTTAAAGCTTGAGCCAAGTTTCTCAAATTATTAAGGAAAAATATCACATGAGTGATGGGGTAGAGTGACTCTTGGCCCAACTAAGGGATCACATTTGGTGTGTGATGGTCAAATAAAGTGGGCCCCATTTTGTTCCTACTGAGGTCCGAGAAGAGGCACCATGTTTCTAGTGCATCTCTCTTATCCTCTCAGAAGAGTGGATGGAGCCAAGACAAAATATTAAGAGCAAGGAGGGGAGAATTCTGCAGTGGTCTTCCACAGCTGTTGGATACATTTGTATAATCAAAGAACCACAAGTATTCACTCTGAACATATTATTAATAAAATTACATGAAGCATTTTGGGCACCCAGAATATATTAAGAAGAGTAAAGCAAAACCAATAAAACTACTACTCACCTTAAGAAATAAAATACTAGCAATACATGTACACACTCTCAAACATTCCCCCTCATCTTACCACCCTCTCTTCTCTCAGAGGACTGTGATTCTTTCTGGTTTACATTACACACACACACACATTTTTGGACTGGTATTGGGATTTGAGCTCAGGGCCTTGTACTTGCAGGTTGTTGCTCTACCATTTGAGCCATGCCTCTATCCCCTTTTGCCTTGGTTATTTCTGAGCTATGCCAGCCTGGGTAGGCCATCATACCTAGCCATGGGTTGAGATGGAGTCTAGGAACCATTTTATCTCCTCAAGTCTTGATTCCTCAATCTCTGCCTTCAAGTAGCTAGGATTAGTACATCAAATCCTAGTATAATAAATCTCCTTTGAGGGGCTGGGAAGGTGGCTCAGTGGTAGAGCGCTTGCCTTGCATACATGAGGCCCTGGGTTCGATTCCTCAGTACCACATAAGCAAAAAGAAGAAAGCTAGAAATGGCGCTGTGGCTCAAGTGGTAGAGCGCTAGCTTTGAGCTGAAGAGCTGAGGGACAGTGCCCAGGCCCAGAGTTCAGGCCCCACAACCGGACCCAAAAAAAAAAAATCTCCTTTGAGGAAGTGGCACTGTGGTCAAGCGGTAGAGCACTCGCCTTGAGCTGAAGAGCGCAAGGACAGAGTTCAAGCCCCACGACTGACAAATCAATCAATCAATCAATCTTCTTTGAGAGGAGAGGGTCAGTAAGATCAGGGAGAAGTGGGTGAGGATGAGCACAGATGTTAGTGTTTTATTTCTTCAGGTAGGGAGTGGTTATAGAGGATTTGTTGTACTCTTCTAGTCACAGGGCCCTGCTCACACTTTATTTTTCAGATAAGAAAAGGGAAGTTCAGCAAAGAGAAAAGCTGGGGTTGGGGACATGGCTCAGCTGGTAGAGTGTCAGCCAACGAATAAAAATGTCAGATCAAGAGTTTGAATCCCAGTCTCCAACAGAGAGAGAGAGGAGAGAGAGAGAGAGAAAGAGAGCTTGAGGTAGAGAAAGGTTGGAGACCGCTGTAATCTCATGCTTGATGCCAACACAGCCTTAGGATAACTTCTGTTCTCCCACCACCACTGCTGCCCTTGCTCAGCTCCCAAAGCTTACAGAGGCACTCTGCCACCTGAGCCGTGTCCTCTGCCCTTTTGTTTGTCTTGTTTTTGAGGTAGGGTCTCATTGCTTGAACTCTTCATCTCCCTCCCTCCACTCTGGAGTAGCTAGGATTATAGGCATGTGCCACCATGACTGGTTGCCTTCTGTTTTTGCTTTTGGGGAGTGAGGTATTGTAAAGTCCGCTCCTGGATGAAGAGCAGACTCCACCCTCCTGGCAGCAAAGTCTCCACCCAGGCAACTGGCACACCTGGAAGAGGTCACATCTGCATCCACTGAGGTGACATCTGAATTTGATGTGGCCACACCTTTCTCCACCCATACCCTAGATAAGGCCTAGCCCAAGCCCAGACGCTCTCTTTTCTAGCTCTTTCCCAGCTCTCTCTCTTTCCCAGCTCTCCCAGCTCTCTTTCCCAGGCCTTTCCCCGCCTGGAGGCCATGTTGGAGGGCCGACATGGCCTGGTGCCGATCGGAACAATGAATAAACCTACCCTTTACCTGAATACCATGTGCGTGGTGCTGTTCTTACTCAGCTACCTCTTTTTAAAAACCTAACAGGTAGCACTGTATGATGTTAGTACATTTGTGTAGTTTCTCAGCCCTTTGGGTACAATCAGGAATATAGCATATGTATAATAAGCATGAAAAATTGAAAGGGAGCAATATTAAAGCATATATTTTTGGAGGGAGGGTAGTATTGGAGTTTGAACTCAGGACCTCATGCTTGCTAGGAGGTGCTCTACCACTTGAGCCACAGCACAGACTGAAAAGAGAGGGAATATTAGCTAACATTTCTTTGCTTGGATGTTGGATTGGTATCTGCAGCATGCACATACATCGAGAAGTTTGGGGATAGTCAGCTGTATGATAGATTTTCACAGCAGTGACATTGAGCTACAAAATAAAACAAACTCTTCAGAGCCCGCCTTCTCTTTCCCATGCTTACAAGTAGACATCAGAGCCTCCCCGAGAAATAGTCCTGTTAAAATGCAAAATATCATTAGAAGATAGTTTCCTAGACTTGTCATCAGGATGTTTGATTTGCTTCCTAGGACAAATGAAAAATCTGATTGATATTTTGCTGGTGAGTAAAAAATCAGAAGGATTGAAAAAATACGGCACAGAGAAATTAATTTTTAATAAAATAAGAGAACCAAGCAAGATTACTGTCTTCTTACTGATGGGATGATATATAATTTTGCAATTCTGGTTTAAGTGCAGACACTTTTCTCTATTTATAGATATTTTTGACAACCTGGGTTTATTCTTTGTCACTTTTTAAGTGCATTTTTTTCTTCCTTTAAAAATAACAGGTAACAGCTAGCAATTTTCACCTAGAACTCCATCAAGCATTTGAAAAGGCGATAATCTATGGAAAAAACTTGTAATTGGTCACAGGATCATCTATCAGACTTAATTTTGTCCAGAAGGCTGATATTAATGTCCCATAAAAAGCATCACACTTGAAAAACAAGCCCTACCTTTGTAGGATATTTTTGGGTTCTTTGTTACAGAGGTGTTAGGTACCGTGGATGTCTGAGCTAACCTATCTATCCAATGATCAGAAGAACTTGCCCTCTACCCCTGCCCACTCAACTACCTATATTCACCAGTTGTAATGCCCATTCACAGATGGGCTGATTGAGGACTGAGGACTTGTTATGTTTGTTAACACAGCTGGAATCATTCCTTACCCAAAGTTCTTGAGACCGAAATGATTCAGGCTTTGGAATTTTTTGTTATATTGGGAAATTTCCATATATATGTGTATATATATATATAAAATAAATTTTGGGTATGGGAACCAAGACTAGATATCAAATTCACTTGTTTCATATACATCTGATACACATTTTTGAAGATAATTTGATGCCATATTTTGAGTATAACCTGTGGATTTTGCCTGTGACCCATTCTATGAAGTCATATGGGGATTTTTTTTTCCACCTATGACATCATGTTGGTACTCCAAAAGTTTGGGATTTTGGAACATTTTAGATTTTGCTTAGAGATGTTTAATCTGTATTATTATTATTATTATCTTCCTTGAAGCTAAATGTTGAAGTGAAATAGGACTTGCCATATAAGGAGTACATCTGCCACATCACCCTCCACCTCGTGAATGCTTAATGTCGTTCTGGAATTGATGAGTCGTGTAAGGCCATCATTTCAGACTTAGCAATTTTGCTTTTGTTTTCCAGACTGTTTATTCCATGGCTCCCTTTCCTTTCCCACAACTGGCGGAGTTAAGGGAAAAGTATACCTACAACATCACACCTTTCCCAGCCACAGTTAAACCTGCCTCCCTTCCTGGGTAAGGCTGTTTATTATTTGTTTCCTGTTTTCTTTTTATGATGTAAGACTTTATTCATTAATTTTTTTATGATGGCTTAATATTTATTAGGTCCTGAAATTATGTGCAAAGTAATTTGGTTCTTAAAATCTGAATGAGTCCCAATGGTTTTGATTTATATTCGTGAGAAAATTTTAACAACATAGTTTCCAAAGAAGTGTGGACCATATTTCAAGAATGAAAATAATGTGGAACTGGTATACAAATAGGCAGATGAGTTAGTTTCAAATAATAACAGAGACAGAAATTGACAGATACATATATGAAGTCTGGAGTATGAAAAATTGCCAGATGAAGTTAATGGTGAAAAGATATGCTATTCAGTAAATGGTAATTGGGAAGGAAAGTTAGCATTTTGCCTCACACCATACATCAGAGTGAGTTCATATGGCTGAATGTATTTCAGGAAATAATGAAATAATTCGTAGAAGAAATGAAACAGTAGTTATTTGAAATTGAGATTTTAGTAATTGCCTCAACAGTGAAAAAAAATGAAGGTACTTTAAATAATAAAGGGAAAAAAGTACTTTAAAAATAATTTTTTTAGCTAGGTGCCAATGGCTCTTCCTGTAATCCCAGCTAATCAAGAGGCTGAAATCTGAGGATTATAGTTTAAAGCTAGCCAGGCAGGAAAGTCTGTGAAACTCTTATCTTCAAGTAATCACAAAAAAAAAAAAAAAATCTGGAAGTGTCACTGTAGCTCTAGTGGTAGAACACTAACTTTGAGCATAAAAGCTAAGGAAAGTACCCAGGCCCTGAGTTCAAGCCCCAGGACTGGCACACAAAAATTTTTTTTTTCTGCCATGACCAAGCCCAAAACAGAACAAAACACAATCTAAATAAGCAGACCCAAAAATATTTATAGAAAAATCAAATTCTATACTATCAGGGCTGATATTTCTGTACTATCAGGGCTGATATCTCTAATATATACAGTTCCTGGAAGTTAATAAGAAATTGGTCACTCAGGTTAAAAAGATGATGAAAGACTAAGAATATGTATTTATGCAAAAAGCAATATCATTAGTACTAAAAGAATCTCAAAAATAGAAACTGAGATTTTTCTCTCCTTACCTTCTTTCTCCCTAGGATTGAGGTTTATACTCAGGCCCTGACTTTTCCCTTGGCTTTTTCGCTCAAGATGGTATTCTTCCACTTGATCCAAACCTCCACTTCCATTTTTTGCTGGTTAACTGGAGATAAGAGTCTCAGATTTGTCTTCTCAGGCTTCAAACCTTGATCCTTAGATTTTAGCCTCTTGAATGGCTAGGATTATAGGTACCTGGACTGGAACGGTCTCTTGTACATTGTGTGCATAAGGTTAATTACTACAGGTTTTGTGCTGCTTGGGAAGTATTTGCCAAAGGTAGTCATGCATGTATCCTTTGACTCAGCAACTCTACTTTTATGAAGTATTCCAAATGGAGAAAACAGTATATGGATGGTTATTTTCTGCATTATCATTTCATTTGTGTGTGTGTGTGTGTGTGTTTTCATTTCAATTGTATAATCATTGGAATCACTCATGAGTGGGCACCATTCCTGGCCTGGTTCTATAATGTGGGCTTTATGGGTATAGTACAGCTGTACAGAAAGGAAGAGGAAAGCTGGGGAGGTGGTTCAGCATCACAGCACTTGCTTGGCATTCATGAGGCCCTGGGTCCAAGCCTAGCCCCCAAAATAAAACAACTAAGCAAATAAAGCCACAGTTTCTCAGTAAACAGATCTATATGCAAGGCTCTTCTCTGTGTCTAGCAATAACTTGCTAGACAAAGTGTTTGATTCTTGAGCAAGGTAACTTCAAGAAAAGCCACTGAGTTGTAAGATAGTCTAAAATATGTGACTGGAAATATTTCTTTGTTTCTTTCTTTGTTTCTTTTTTTTTTTTCCTTTCTTTTTCTTTTGACAGTCCTGGGACTTGAACTCTGGGCCTGGGCACTGTCTCTGAGCTTCTTTTGCTCAAGGAGAGCTCTTTATCACTTGAGCCACAGTACCACTTCTATCTTTTTTTGAGTAGTTTATAGGAGATAAAAGGCTCATGGAGTTTCCTACCTAGGCTATCTTTGAACTGCGATCCTCAGATCTTAGCCTCATGAATAGCTAGGATTACAGGCATGAGCCTCTGGCACCTGGCTCTGGGAAAATTTCTAACATGATTAAAAGCAAGCTATAGAAGACAATATACTATGTTCCTATATATGCACAGACAAAAATTATATAGTTATATTTGCTGATTTGTCTGTAGACAAACTGATGAATGTAAAATATTGATGGTAATTGTTAGCTGTGGGAATTAGATGGGTCAAGAACTGGGCAGATGTTGATAGGGTTGGGAAGGTGACTTTAAAAAAATGTTTCATAATTACATAAATATGTCATTTAAACCACAGAAATGAGTTGCCTGTTGTTCAACAGTCGTTTAACAGTTTACCAGTTCTGTACAGTCGTATTTAAACAATACGACTATTTCCTTTGAGTATTTTTTTGGTCTTTTTTCATGTTTTCCAAGGCGACATGGCAAGAGCAGAGACAGTGATGAGGAGAATGATCTCGATGATGAAGATGCCATTGCGAATGCTGTGGGGTGTCTTGGGCCTTTCAGTGGAATCCTGGCACCAGAATTGCAGAAGTATCAAAAGCAGATTAAAGGTAAAGGATTGGCTCTTGATTTAGATGATCATAGATTGGTTATTGTATTACTATGTCTTCTAGAGGCCTCAGTAAGTCCCTAAACTGGTTACTACTAGTAAAAGTCTACATTTAGAATGTTTGGGGGGCTGGGAAGGTGAATCAGTGGTAGAGCGCTTGCCTTGCATGCATGAGGTCCTGGGTTCGATTCCTCAGCACCACATAAGCAAAAAGAAAAAAAGCCGGAAGTGGCGCTGTGGCTCAAGTGGTAGAGTGCTAGCCTTGAGCTGAAGAGCTGAGGGACAGCACCCAGGCCCAGAGTTCAAGCCCCACGGCTGGACCCCCCCCGCAAAAAAAAAAAAAAAAAAAAGAATGTTTGGTAATGCAATGGATTTCCTTGCATACTATGAGCTGGCCATCCTGGGCCTTACAAGGAGCTTCAAAAACATTTTGAATAATGGCAATGTCAAATAAGTATATGTTCTCCAAGGGGGATATTTTAATTGGTTAAATTTCATTTGCATTTTCAAAGTTCCACAACACTTAGAAAGACTTAAAACATTAAAAAATTATTTTCTTCTGCTTATTTATCATATGTTAGGATCTTTCTGTATTATGTGCCACACACATAATACACATTATGGTGGCTTTTGCTTCCCATTAATCTGATTCAGTTTTGCATGCTCGGTTCCTTAGAACAGAGCCTGGCATACAGTAAATACTTACTATATTCTATCTTAGTTTTATTGAATTCATCTTACATTGGCTTCTCTTCTGCTGTTGGACTTAATCATTATTATTATTATTTTCTGGTATGGGGACTTTGAACTCTGGGCCTCTCATGGCTTTATTGCTCACTACTAGTATGAGCCATGCCTCTAGTGCAGCTTTTTGCTGGTTAGTTGGAGATGGAATCTCATGGATTTATCTGTTCAGGTTGGCTTTGATCTTTAATCTTCCAGATCTCAGCCTTGTAAGCAGCAAGGATTATAGTCTTGAGCCATTGTTGCCTGGATAAGGACTAAATCTTTCACATTATGATAACCTCTACTTGAATTTTTTGAGTGACAAGAAATTTATCACTTCATATAACACTTTGCTAGATCCTTAGGATTAGGATTTCTAGTTGCAAAGAGACAACCTCTACCTACCGGTTCTAATGGTTCTTCCTTCTGGGACAAATAGAAGAGCTCCACTTTCTCATCTACTTGACATCTTCAAATGTTTTGAGGATAGCTATCATATCCCCCAAATTTACTCTAAGCCCCAAGCTCAGAATTTCTTTAAGCTTCCTGAGCTTTTAATATTCTATTAATTTACCATAGATGTTTTACAATTTGGTAACGTCCCCTTAAATGAGGTGCCCTAAATCAATTGCCATGTCTTGTTTATTTCTTGAACAGAATAGAAATCCTGTGGCTGGGCATTACCCATATAGCAAACTCTTTGGTAATAGTCTGTGGTTCATTCATCCACCATATCTTTTCTGATCTTGGGTGGCAGCTCTTTTGTCTAGTGAAAGGCCATTTGCCTCATTAAAAGAGGGCAGAGCAAAGTTGAAAAAGGAACATTGCCTTGTCTTTCTGGCTTGCTCACCTTGTATTACTGTCTTGAAGAAGTATAGCTATCCTCTCTCTCTCTCTCTCGGTTCTTTTTTAGAAGATGGTGGTGGCAACTGCTACCATTGCCTTTTTCATTGTGATCATTTGGGGTATTTCCCTCAAGCTTCAGATCATTTTGATTGATTGAGTGTGTGTGTGTGTGTGTGTGTGTGTGCGCGCGTGTGCTTGCGGGCACATGCCAGTACTGGGGCTTGAACTCAGGGCCTCATGTTCTCCCTTGGCTTTGTTGCTCAAGGCTGGCATTCTACCACTTGAGCCTCCAGTCCAGCATTTTGCTACTTAATTGGAGATGAGTCTCACAGACTTCTGGCCCAGGCTGGCTTTGAATCACAATGCTCAGATCTCCGTTGTCTGAGTAGCTAGGGTTATTTTTTATTTTTAACCCTCCTTAGTGGGGTATGAGTCTTCTTTCATCTTTTAAAATGGCTTTTACAAGCTTAAACCCAATAAGAGTTGATTTCTGGAATGCCCCCATAGTTCTTTGTTGTCAGCTTTGGGTTTCTAGACATGGAATGAATATGTATATTGGTGCTAAAGTTTTTGAATCTGTATTCTGAAGTCTGGGACTATATCTCTGCTTTTCTTTCTGTGTAATTATGTGGTCCAGGATGACACCATCACCTGCTCCTAAATGACTGTCTAGTTTTGCTTAGATTTGGCTCAAATTGGAAGTTCCTCCCACAGATGCCAGGATAGTTGGAATCTGCCCAGCTTTCTTTAGCTGGTACCCTGGTCAGCTTTATGTATTGCTGTAGAGAAACCTGGTTCTCTTCTTGGTTCCATGCAGAGTGTGAGTGCATCCTTATAATAACATATCTCTCTTGCTTTCATATAGTTGCAGTGTTACATAAGGGGTAACTGTACTTGTTTTAATTATCACAGAAGCAAGATCATATCAGACACAGTACATAGTAGACAGGAAATATTTGTTAGATGACAAAAATTTCATTTCTGAGGGTATAGTGGTCCCCAAATCTATGACTCCATCAAATATATTACTTTTTTGTTGTTGGTTGTGGGGCTTGAACTCTGAGCCTGGGCACTGCCCCTCAGCTCTTCAGCTCAAGGCTAGCGCTCTACCATTTGAGCCACAGTGCCACTCTGGCTTTTTCTGTTTATGTGGTGCTGAGGAATTGAACCCATGGCCTTATGCATGCAAGGCAAGCACTCTACCACTGAGCCACATTCCCAGCTCCCTATTTTTTTTAACTTAAGAGAAATGCATTTATAATGGTGATCTAAACTTCATGAACAGTCAGTCTCTTATAAATACTTATGTGGTTGTATAGGCATTTACACAATGGTTTTAGATAGCTGGTATATTTTTCTAAGAGAACCTTAGATACTATAGGCATAAAGACATAGACTTTAGGCACTGATCTTTATGTGGAAGCAGTTGATCTTATGTCTGTGTAATAAACAAAATGGTAGCAAAATGAATGAACCTACACAGCTTATTTCAGACCTAGGGTTAGGCTGATAAGAAAATGCAAGAGAGGCTGGGCACAGGTGGCACAGTCCTTACTGAGGAGGCTGAGAGCTGAGGATTAAGGTTCAAAACAAGTGTGGGCAGAAAAAGTCTTGAGACTCTTTTCTCCAATTAACCAGCAGGAAACAGAGGTATGGCTCCTTTGGTAGAGTGCCAGTCTTGAGCAAAAAGGCCAAGCAAAAACACCAGGCCTTAAGTTCAGGCCCCAGTACCAACACCAAAGTAATAGAGGGCGGGGGGGGGGGGGGGGGGGGAGGGGAGGAGAGAAAAGGGAGGAAGGGAGAGAAAGAAAGAAGGGGTGTAGGGGAGGGGGAGAAAGGAGAGATCCTGCTTTACTCTACCGACCAGCTCTCTGTGTCTCCTCCCTGATTCAGAGCCAAACGAGGAACAGAACTTGAGATCTAACAACATTGCAGAGCTGAGTCCAGGGGCAATCAATTCGTGCCGCAGTGATTACCACGCTGCATTCAACAGTATGATGATGGAACGTATGACCACAGATATCAATGCCCTGAAGCGGCAGTACTCTCGAATTAAAAAGAAGCAACAGCAGCAGGTCCATCAGGTGTACATCAGGGCAGGTAATGTCTGGTTGAGTCAATGTCAACTTAATCTCAGCTTCTAAAATGAACAAATGATTTCAGGATTACCAACGGTAGCTCAGCTTCTAAAAGTCAGATGACATGAGATAGTAGCCTACTTAGCATTTCATTTTTTTTTTTTTATCTTATCAGGCTTTAAAGAAGAAAAAGATGATGGGTTCTTTTTAGTTCCAAAGGCACAGGCAGTAGATGGTATTAAACACGTCTTTACTATGCAGGCTTGTGGAGAGGGGTTAGCAAATTATTAGAATGTTGTTGCCACATCATGCAATCCTTGGACTTAAGAAACTTCAGAAATTTCAGGAAATTTGAAAATAGTCACTTAGTCATCTGTGCACTCATAAATTAAGCCATTCTCTAGTTCTTTAGGTTATACTAGAACAGATGTTTGTGATAAACAAAATTAGTAAGCCTGTGTTTCACTGCTGGGTTAGCAGTATCCCAGGGAGAGCTAAGAAGAATAAATTATAATGCAGTTGGAAATGCTCTTTTCCAAGGATTGTAAAAAATTTCTTTTAATCCTAAATTTTTTAATGAACAATCTGCTTTATTGTTAATTTATGCTGATTTGATGGATTTTTTTCTTGTTCTAAGTGAATGTTATAATGAAAATTGGCCCAGTGGCTTGTAATATAGTCAAGTCCTCACAAACCTGTAATCTATAGCCAAATTCTGCCCACTGTTTGCTTTTATAAAGAAAGCTTCATTAGAAAACAGGCATACTCATTCTGTTTACATGTTGTTGAAAGCTCTTTCCATACCAAAATGGCTAAGATATTTGCAGCCTGGTGTCTTAGAGAAAAAGTTTGCTAGTCCCTGCTTTAGACCATGATTTATTTTGTTCTTTTCAATCGGGGTTGACATTAGATAGTTGCTCAAAGGCAAAGTTCTAAAGCCTTGTGTTTTACATTGTAGTGTACATATAAGTCTTTTGAGGATCTGCTAAAATGAAGAGTCTCTTTCAGTAGGTTTAGGGTGGGACTGGAATTATGAATCAAGAAGGGTAGATGATGTGGACATCAAAGAGATGTTCACACAGAGATAGAAGGACCTACTTCCTATTGTTTAAGGCTGCATCAGAAACAAGGTCCTAGACCTGGGAGGCAGATAGTCGTGCTATCCACAGGACAACAAAACTGTTGTTGCTTTCCAGTTGTCACTTGGTTTTCAAAGCCCATTGAGGATATAGGTGTGGTGTTTCATTCTTAAAACCAAGCACTGGACAGCATGATTCCACCGAATTTTTATTATCCTGCTAGTACTTTTCCTCACTCTGCTGTCTCTCATTTCGTAACGTGCAATGTGTTCTTACCTTTCAGGAGCTGACATCTGATAATCCATATGATCTAATCCATATGGTCAAAGTGCTTGTCAAATTATTTTTTTTTAAATTTCAAAGATTTCTAGACATAAGACCCGAGATTGCTATACAGAGACAAAACTTGCAAAATTAAAAAAAAAAAATAAATCAGAGATTAGGCTGATATTAGAACTAAGGGGCCAGAAGAGTTCCTGTTTATTTTTGAATACAGGTTTTCATGGCTGGGACAGATCCCTGAGACAAGTGGCTTCAAGGAAGAAGGATTTATTTTCCTTCATGGTCTCAGAGCTTCCAGCCCTGGACTGACTCCTTTACTAAGAGTCTAAGGTGGTGAGACAGAGCGTCATGGTGTCAGGGCTGGGTGGAGGAGCTTGCTTACCTCATAGCATCCAAGAAACAGACAGAGCAAAAAGGGCCTGGGATAAGATAGACCTTTCAAAGGCATGTCCTCAGAGACCCACTTCTGCAGTTTCTACCACCTCCCAAAGTCCGCTCAATCAGGAATCCATCAGTTGATGAATCTGTTGGTTAGGCCAGGGGATTCATGATTGAATAATCATCAATGATTGGATCTGCTAGCTGGGAACCAAGTCTTCATCATAAGAACATTTAAAAACTGTAACATATCCAAGCTTGTGGTCTCCTTCTCTTAGAAGAAGAGGGATTTGGGACCCCAGGGGCTAGGGTTGATTTCAGTTTCTGTTGTCCTTAGTGGGGGAGAGAGGGAAGAGAGGGAAAATACGTTGTTCAGATGGATGTTTCTCTGTGGTGTTTCACATTGCCTTTCAAACATTTCTTCCAGACAAAGGGCCAGTGACCAGCATTCTTCCATCTCAGGTAAACAGTTCTCCAGTTATAAACCACCTTCTTTTAGGGAAGAAGATGAAAATGACAAATAGAGCTGCCAAGAATGCCGTCATCCATATCCCTGGCCACGCAGGAGGTAAACTATCTCCTGTCCCTTACGAAGACCTTAAAACAAAGCTCAACTCTCCCTGGCGGACTCACATTCGAGTCCACAAAAAGAACATGCCTAGGACCAAGAGTCACCTGGGCTGTGGGGACACCATAGGGCTGATAGAAGAGCAAAATGAGGGCTGTAAGACTAACACCCTGGGGGCAGTGGAAGAGTTTTCCACCAGTTGTACAACAACGACTCTCAGAAAAGACAGCAGCTCTGCTAGAGGCACCCTGCGGACAATTGAAGGGCATTCTCCAGAGCCAGCATTTAGGGATGGTGAGGTGGATGTGGCTGCTGTTCAGGTGAAGCTAGAAGCCTTGGAACTGAACCCAGACAACACTGCTGAAACTGAGCCCAAGGTGAGACATGGCCCAGAGCCACCTGATACCACGCCTGGAGAGCACAAAGCCACCAGCAAACTGCCCCAAGGAAGCCACTCCAAAACCCCCATCTTTAGTCCTTTTCCGAGTGTCAAGCCTCTGCGGAAATCAGCCACTGCCAGGAATTTGGGGTTATATGGTCCTACAGAAAGAACCCCAACTGTGCATTTCCCTCAGATGAGTAGGAGCTTCAGCAAATCCAGCCGCGGAAACAGTAGCACTAAGAAACGGTGATGTCTCCCAGTGACTGGCATCTAGACTCCGCTTGGCATGGTGGCATTCATGTCCCAGCGGCGTCCTTCCACTCTTGCCCATCCAGTGACGACCAATAGAATTTTAGCCAGAGCTTCAGCAGCCCATCAAAATGGGAACTGAAGTTCTGCGATGGGAGCTGGAGTCAGGAAGCTCCCTTCTACTGTGGGTCACAGATAAAGCGGATTCTTGTGGCAAAATAAATCTTGTGGTTTTCAAGTGTGACGTTTTCCCCAGCTTTCCTTGTGAACTGTTTAGAAAAGACTATTTTTGTGGCAGTATCCCCAAACCTTCCAGTTCTCTGGATGTTACTAATACTCAAGCATGCACACACCAGCTTTTCAGAACAGAAACTATAAAGAAAAAAGGAAGAAAAAAGAAATTTTCTTAGTTGCAAAAAACAAAACAAAACCCAAAACTTTCCTGATACCTGATATTCCTCTTCTTGTTCTTTTTTGGGGAGAATACTTATGTGTGTGCATTTCCCCTCAGTACTCTTGTTTTTTTATTCTTATGCTAAAACGTAGCAGAAAAGCAAATAGACTTTCTTTAATGTTCTATTTCTAACTGTGAAAAGAAGAAAACTTTTAATCTGTTGGAATTGCAGGTTGAAAACCAAATTGAAGGTGGTTTGCAGAGAGCACTTTTGGGGTATACATTAAACCGTTGCCGTGAATGGTAAATTTCCCAAGGTTCCTTTTCTTCTCTTGGAGGAGAGCACTGGTACCCACTGGTTCTGAGGACTTGTTGGGCTCTGGATGGAGCTTGTTCTGAGTCCTCATTGCATCTCACTTACCCTCCATGGCAGATGCACACGGCTTCTGCTCAAAAGCCAGACACAGCTCTTATGACTGTTACTTGAATTTTGTGCTTTTTTGGGGGTTGGGGGTGGGGGAAGGGGTTAGAGTACTTGGTTACTTGAATATTGCCTTTCTCCAGAGAAGAAGGCCTTAGTGCTTTCTAGTTCTCTCTCACCCACTCTTCTTTCTCCTGCTCTTGTCCCAGTGGGTCAGAGGTAACACCTCTTGTCTTCACTATGCCGTTGAGAACTCTGAGCCACCCAGGCGTGATGTAGGAATGCATCAACCTAATCATTTATTCAAGGCCAGTTCTCCTGGTATCCTATGGGACTTGGCCATAGTTCCTCCACCACAGTAAGCTAACTCACTGCTCTCTGTGCAACTGATTGGCTACAGGGCTTTTTACCATCCAAGACTGGGACGCTATGCAGGACCTCCCTTCCTGACTCAAATGACCTTTCTCTAGATGGTACAGCGACCTGTCATAGCATATTCCCCAAAACAACTCTCACCCCCTTATCCTGCACATTTAGTTCATTTATAAACTGTGCCGTGCACCTTTGGTTTGGCTAAATGCAGGCTTACTGCACCATTGCACCACCGTTAGAGGAATAGATGCACATCTACATCTTCAAGATCTAAGCAGTGCTGGCAGAAATAGTCTTCAAACAATCAAGATAAATTTGAGTGACTTTGTTTGCTACAGTGATAGTTGTTGTGAGGGTTTTTTTTTTTTTTTAATGATGAGAGGCATTGTTTTTGTATAATCAAATAAAAATATGGTTGTGTGGGGTTCTTAGAACAGAACACACAAGAATGACATAGGCAGCAAGAAAAGCCATGAGATCCCCTCTGTGGTATTTTTACCTCAAAAGGAGTGGAACATGGAAAGGGTGATTAATAAATCAGTGCAGTTCTGGTCTTGAATTCTGAGCCATCTGAAGCCGAGCAGCAGTTTCTTTACAAACAGACACACAATACCCACAGCCTGTTTGGGGGAAGGTTGGGGGGTGGGGTGGAGAGTTGGACTTAACTTTGTATACTACCCCCAGGAGACAGACATACTGCACTTCCCAAAGTTAAGCAAAACAAGATTCCCCTCCCCTCCATTCTTATCTTTACAGATAAGAATAATTCTACTGTGTAGTCTTTGCTGTGTCTCATCTCAAATGAGTCAGAATGGCTATATTTCTCTGGAGGGATGGCTGGCTCCAACAGTGAATTATTCTTTCCTCACTTTGGCTCCCTGAGGGCCTGGGGCTGGGGGTGGGGGAGGGTGAGCAAGGAGAAGCTGTCTTAGTGCTGTGCTGTGTCTGCGTCCTTTCTCGGCCATTCCTTTCCTGAGAATCAGGTGGATATAGTGACAAGGGGTGGTCAAGATTGGCCTTCTGAGGTAAAAATGACCTTGTCAAAAATTTAAAGGTCAAACATTTCTGTCAAAGCACTCTACCAGTATACATGTGCATGCATTGTACTAAGTAATCACAGCGTGAATCAACATAGGAGCCTTGCCTACCTTAGAAAATAAAGAAATCCACAGTAGCCTCTTTCACAGCATGTACGAAGGCCAACATGGACCTGCTCTTTCCCCTATGTATGCAAACACCAGAAGTACTTACAGTAGCCGTATCTTTCTGTCTAGGTGTGTCTACTTTCTCAGCACTTTTTCTCTGAGTCAACTCTGCACCTCAGTCCTCTTTAAAAAGCCTCTAGATGATCTAAATCTAGTTTGTAATGTGGACCAATGGGCTTGTTACTGTTTGGAATATTGTATTCCTGGATTCTTTTTTGTCTTCTCAAGAACTGTACTGATTACAAAGATATATGCATAAAGTTCTCACTGTTGTAGTGTTTGTGGTATTTATTGAGTGCATGCATGAAATGCCATCATGACTTACCCTTCTCCTCCCTTCTCACTCCCCCAACTATCACACTTGTTCACACGAACCAAGGAACCAGCCTACTAATTTCATCTCCCTGATCCCTGATTTAGTGTGCCCTATGACAAGCAGAATAGCAGGTTCCTGAATGTGTTTGAAGGAGTGTGAGAAGGAGGGAGGAGGGGAAGAGAATGAGAATGAATATATGTGTATATGTGAACTTTCTAACATTTTCTTTTGTTTTAATAAAATAGAGTAAACATATCTGGGCACAGTGACTCAGGCCTGTAACCCAAGTTTACTATCCCAGTTAAGCCTCATATCAGGAGGAGGCAGATACCAGGAGGATCATGGTTCAAAGACAGCCTGCAAAGAGATGATAGCAATACTCTCTTAACCGGTAAGCCAGGTGTGATAGTACAAGCCTCTTATAGCAGTGCAGGAGACCATAGATAGAGGATTTTGGCCTGAAGTTAGCCCTGGACAAAAATGGGAGACCCTACCTGAAAAGTAACTGAAGAGAGAGAGAAAGAAAAAAAAGACTACTCCAACCACCCAAACAAACCTCCACAACTAAAATCAAAACAAAAAAAGCAAGAACTAGGAAAGTGGCTCCAATGATACAGCCCCTGCCTGGCAACCGAGAGGCCCTGAGTTCAAACCCCAATATCACCAAAAGAAAAATAATAGTCTCACATGAATTAAGTGAACAGTTGCTACCATCCTCCTCATAAAATCTCTCTCTGAGATCTTTCTTTGCTGCCTGAGGCAATGCTTAAATTGCTTTTCCTAATAAAAGTAATACGCTTTAGAAAATTTAGATGTCAATATTTACACACACACACACACACACACACACACACACACACACACACACACACACACACGTTACCTACAAGGTATGTTCCACATAAAGTGTGGGCTGTCTTTCCAGCAAACTTTCTTCTGCAACCTCATTTGCATGGTCTAGAATCACTTGTCAGAGTTCCTACAACCAAGCAAATTGTTTTTCCCTCCCTCCCTCCCTCCTATCTCTCCTTTTAAATTTCTTTCTTGATCTCTAGTTTTGAAGCTTTGATAGAAACATTGCTAATATTTTTTTTGATATCTTGTTCCCTCTAGTGATGAAGCTTGGTAGTTAAACATCTGTTTAACCTGCACAAGGCTTTGCTGCTGGGGGTTGAAGAAAACCTCATGAGTTATATCTAGTCCCTGATGTTTCAAGTAATTGTTAAGTAAGGTATTTGCTAAGGTTTTTCCTGAGTGTTAGAAGGTTAAGAAAATCACCTTTTATTTTTTGTTTGCTAAAAGGGTTTTCCTCATTAGCAGGTGTTGAATTTTATCAAATAAATTCTGATTCCATCTTTTAAGACCTGATACTTTTGTACTCAAGAAAATGATTGTTACCAGGTTTCACTGGAAAATATTAATTATTAAAAATGTTAGCCAGGCACTGGTGGCTCATCCCCGTAATCCTGGCTTAACTCAGGATTGAGATTGGGGATTGTGGTTCAAAGACAGCCAGGGCAGTAGAATCTGTAAGACTCTTATCTCCAATGATCGACCAGTAAACCAGAAGAGGTAGAGCACTAGCCTTAAGCAAAAAAGCTCAGGGACAGCACCCAGGCCCTAAGTTCAAGCCTAATCACCACCACCACCACCACCACCAAAAGAAGTTAGGTATTTTAGAGCTGCAAATGATATCAGTAAAAATGTTAAGTGGAGAATTTTCATTATAAGCATGTTAAATTTACTAGTGGAAATTTGGAAACATAGTTCAATATGGAAATGGAAGCAAATAGCCTAGCAATGAATAAGGAAAGGGAGCAGACGCAATTGCAGAAGACACAATTACACTGTGTACTCCACAGACACTTCCATAGTCTCTCCATCTCTGAGTCAGAGTTGGACTGAACAGCTTCTGTCCTCTGATGAGATTGACACTGTGTGGCTAACTATCTTCCTTATACTGCTGGCCCTTCGATTGCTGTTTCAGAACTAACTAGTTCATTTCTGTGTTTTGTTAAAACGAAACAGTACTTTCCCATGCATGTGTGTATCTTGGAGTCATTTTAAAGACTAAGGTTGGGAAGTGTCCTTGTGGTTCAAGAGGTAGAGCACTAGTCTTGAGCTGAAGAGCTGAAGACAGTGCCCAGACCCAGAGTTCAGGCCCCACGACCGGACCCAAAAAAAAAAAAAAAAAAGACTAAGATTTGTATATAAGTTTTAGGACTTATTCTGAGTGCAGACTCAGAAGACAAGAGCATTCCTGGCTGTCCTATAAACTCTCTGATTGAAAGCCGGGCGCTGGTGGCTCACGCCTGTAATCCTAGCTACTCAGGAGGCTGAGATCTGAGGATCGCGGTTCAAAGCCAGCCCGGGCAGGAGAGACCGTGAGACTCCTATCTCCAATAAACCACCAGAAAACCGGAAGTGACACTGTAGCTCAAGTGGTAGAGCGCTCGCCCTTGAGCTGAAGAGCTGAGGGACAGCGCCCAGGCCCAGAGTTCAAGCCCCACAACCGACCAAAAAAACCCAAAACTCTCTGATTGAAACTAGAGAGGATTAAATAGAAGTGCAGCTGGAGGCTGGCATTGGTGGCTCATGCCTATAATCCTCGCAACTCGGGAGGCTGAGATCTGAGGATCACAGTTCAAAGCCAGCCCAGGCTGTGAGACTCTCCAGTGAAACCAGAAAACCAGAAGTGGCACTGTGGCTCAAGTGGTAGTGCACTAGTCTTGAGCTGAAGAGCTGAGGACAGTGCCCAGGCCGAGAGTTCAAGCCCCAGGACTGACCCCCCCCCCCAAAAAAAAAGCTGGGCC